AACCTTAGCAAATCCTTTTGGGCGACCATTAAAGTCTGAAGGCATTTATATTATTATTATTATTTAAATTTGGAGTTTCATTGCAGTTAGTAGTATCGAAATAAGCACTTTACGTTCTGAATGTTCTGTTACGGATTTCCTCGTACTTAACCAAGAGATTATTAATATGACTTTTGTACTGTGATAAAAACATTCTGTCATTCCCAAGAAGGATCATAAGAAATGCATTCAAAATGGAGAAAGGGTTCGTACATTTCTTACGCAGGAGGAAACATGTCATCGAAAGAGAGGATTCAGAAATAACTGGATCACACTAAAACGCAGTCAAGAAAAACGAAACAAGTATTACACGTGAAACCAGTACGAAAAGTTTCTTTATGTATCATAAACTTAAAGCTATAACAGAAATCGAAACCTTTTATTACATCTTTAAAGTTGGATATATTATTCATAAAATAACTGAAGTATCCAATAAATGTTTTTTCCGCATAATTAAACTTAATTTTCGTTTTTTCTCTAATCTAACATAAACATATTTTTAAGAGACATTTGTGTCAGCATGATTTTAACGAGAGCGTAAAATTAAAAAAATAAAAAAACTGAAAGGTTTCAGATTTTAAATTTCCTCCAAAGGCGTGATTTTTTTAACGTTTTGTGTGTTACCTTTATTTATTAAATGTCATGTTCTACGTACTCAAACCGTAACATTCAGTTTGTAGAGACATTAGGTATTTTTGGAAGCAGGAGAGATGAAAAATTAGCAGCGCTTTCGCCGGGAATCGAACCACGGACTTCTGGAATACGCGCCCAGCATGCAGTCCACAACACCACGTAGGCACGCCAAGAAGGCTGCAGAAACACTCTTCCTTTTAAAGAACGACGTCAATTTACGATAGGGGACCCAGTCACCAATTCCTGGGTGAGGAGAATCATCATCAAACACCCTTTTAGTTCGCGCGCCCCTGTAGAGACACAAGGTATTTCTTGGAAGCAGGCAAGATGAAAAATTAGCAACGCCTTCGCCAGGAATCGAACCGAGAACCTCTCAATTACGCGCTAAGCGTGCAGACCACTACACCACGAAGGCTCGTTACCTTATGAGAAGAAATACCTTATACCTTATAGGAGAAATACCTTATAAGTTCAAGAGCAATATCGCAAAATAATTTTAAAAAATCTGATGTGTACACCACATGACTTCCTTGTACGGAATATTAAATTATACGCATTTTTTCTTGCATTTTATTTAAACTTATTAGATTGAATTAAACCTACTGCGCCGACAGCGCATAAACCGCAATAGAATAAATGCATTCTTTAAAATTCACTTTGTTTACCATAGCGACACTCTGGCGCTTGGTTTACTTAACACTATTATATTTCCTTTATATTATAACTCAGAATGCACAAAATGTATATCATTTAAAGAATTATCTAATCGTTGCCACATGTTCTATTCAAATACTATAATAAAGGTAGAACTATGTATAAAAGAAATTAAGCAAAGAAAACAAAAAAGAAACAGTTTTTCGCAGACGATTTAAAATTTCTCACTTAATTAATTCAGTTCTCACTTCGCGAGAAGGCAAAAATACATAAAAACTCAAAATATCTATATTAAAAATTACGAAGTAAATCTCAAGCGCTTATTTCCTCGAAAAAATTCCAGAAAGAATTAAGCATGATTTAATTGGCAATAATAAATGAAGGCGTTATCTTTGTTATTGTTGCGAAGGTAAGTTTCTCAAGATTGGCAACAAATCCGCTAGTCTCCTGTTTCAAATGTAAACATTAATGGCCGCCATTAAAAACAGGCTTAGCGGCAATTAAACTTTAAAATTGCTGATAATTCTAAAAATATTGCACACAGATTTACTAAAGGCATAAAACCGGAAGATAAAAACAATTTAATTCAATCATTTTTTTTTAAAAAAATGTACAATTTACAAACATATAAGAGTAAAGAAACTGAGATAACTGAGCCGGGTAATAGGGTGATATATATATAAATATATTTATATACGTTTGGTGCGGCCGATTGCAACCCCAAATACGAGGTGCACATCTACATGTGATAGCAGTCCTATATACAAAATGTAACGTTCTGAGGCTACTCGTTTTTGAGTTTATTCGAGATACGCACGTACGTACATACGTTCGTACAGGGACCACGAAAAATTCTCTTCAGAATTCATTTAAAGCAGTTTTTTTTTTTTTTTTTTTTTTTTTTTTTTTTTAGAAAAGAGTCTTATTCTGTCCTTACGTACAGATATCACACAAAAACATCGTTAAATTGCATTCGATAGCGGTCAAAATGGATATTTTCGTTGAAATATGCTGCCTGAAACTTTTCGCGATTACAATGCTTCCTTTTTACTTCGTACAAGGAAGTAAAAATGAGCATATCTTTAGAAATTCCGTTACACAGTTTCACGCGCTGGAGATAAAAACATTTTTTCGATGTAACGTTACCATTGCTCGCTTTGAAATCCTTGAGCTTGTTAATCAAAAGTTCATTAAAGCGTTACAAAATAGGAAATAGATAATAAAACAAATTCCAAATTTGGGCTTCCAGATGTTCATATTCGCAGGAGGATTACGTCATTCAAAATTGGATGACTCTAGGTACGTCATTAAATAATGAAGAATCTGCATACATACATTTATGCAGATTCTTCATTATTTAATTTATTCAAATATAATACAGGGCGATAATACTTTGTGGAAACAGTTTGAAAAGTGATTCGCCGTTTGTAGTGAGTGAATCGACGGAAAATCGCAAAACGAAAGCAACAGTCCTTCTGGGACAAAGCCCCTTTGGACTAAAAAAAAAAAAAAAAAAAAAAAAAAAATCTGAAAGATCTCGCCAAAACCACTGATACAGAATGTAAACCGTATCGCCTCCCAAATATCGCCAAAAGTCGCCAAATCCCCTGTGTACCGTATACTAGGATATAGCCAAACCGGTATTTTATTAGATAACTTTATAACCTTGAAGAACTCATCCTTTTAAACCACACTTGCTTTGAAAACAATAAGGCGCTTCTAGTGTGATCTGCAATCAAGCTTTTATTCGTAATAATGCCGGCAGCTGCGGTAAAACGGGGTCACTGATCTGACAAATGAATATTTGCTTGTCAGATTAACTAATAAAAGTTGACAATTACTGTCTAATCTTTGCACTTTAAATGACAGTATATTTCTGATTTAATTGTTTTCTCTGTATTCACTTAATTGACAACAGATTTAACTTCCTCACACAGAGTACAGGAAATATTGTAATCGCAAAAAATTTTCAGGTATCGTAATTCAACGAGAATATACATTTTGACCGCCCTCCATTTGAATGATGTTCTTGCGTCCTATCTGTACATATGGACAGAATGATGGATACCTTTTTTCCAAAACGGACTGTATAATGGATTTAAGGTGGATTCAAAAGAGATTTTTTTCGTGACATCTGTACGTACGGAAGCATCTGTGTGTCTCGTATACCCCAAAAATGATATGTTCCAGTTAAGGTTTTTATGCCTTTAGTTATTCTGCATGCAGTAGTTGTAGAATCATCAAAAATTTAAAAGCAATTTAAGTGGTACTGAGCCTAACAAGGCTGTTCACATTTGAAACATTTAGTAGAATAGTGAATGAAGTCAGTTGGTGCACCAAATTGAGTGTCTTTTTGCAGAGTGGGACCAAAAGTAAACTTTCAGTTTTGTGCATAGAAAAATTTGTTTTCCTTCCCGCTGGCTTAATTACTAAATTACTTGTTTTTTGCGTAGAACCTCCAATTTTAATTGTAAAAATTGTAATTGCTTTTAAATGTATTTAGTGTTTTATATTTTTCTGTAGTTGACAATTTTTAACGAAGGTGTTTTGAGTTTTTATGTATTTTCCCCCTTGCCTGCCGCGAAGTGAGAACTGAGCTCATTGAATGAGAAATATATGTGGGTTTCTTGTCTTTGGAAAACACAATTCATGTTCAAACAAAACACAATTCATGTTCAAACAAAACACAATTCCTATTCAAACAAAACACAATTCGTGTTCAAACAAAACACAATTCATGTTCAAACAAAACATATTTAACGAAACATTACTATATATATAACATCGTTCGTCTATTAATACATATAAAACTTCTTAATATGACATCGTTCATCTATTAACACATTTATAACTCTCTGAACACATCTCTAACATCGTTCATTTATTAACTAACACATCTATAACATCGTTCATATATTAACAGATCTGCAACATCGTTCATCTGTTAACAAAACATCGTTCATCTCTCTTTGATAAAACAAAGTGGTGACAATTCTATTAATTTCACTCGTGCAGTAAACAGCTAAAAATTAGACAGCCCACGACGAAAAATGTTAGGCTATGGAGTTAGAATCTCACACATATCCGTAATGAAATTCGAGGAATTAAGTTTAAATGAAATGCAGCAAAAAATACGTATAATTTTATAAGGTATTTACCCCGCCTTCCTAGCGTGCCTTCGTGGTGTAGTGGTTCTGCACGCTGGGTCGGTATTCCAGAGTCCGTGGTTCGATTCCCGACGAAGGCGATTGCTCATTTTTCATCTTGCCTGCTTACAAAAAATACAATTGAATATGCCATACAAGGAAGTCATGTGGACAATTCAGATTTTTTAATTAATGATCTCACGATCGAAATGAGTCAAATTACGAAATGAACTTTCAACATCTGCAATGGACGTTCTCCTGATATCGCTTTTAGTACAGCGATTTGTGAATCGCTGTAATGCATAAGTACCAATATAGGAATTATGTCGGTAAAGAGGAAGATTATTTTTAAAATTGTAATCGAAAGGAGTAAATGTATCGTTGTTTGCGCAAAATGCAAAAAATTCTGAAATAATTTTATTTAGTAGTTATTCGAGCTAATAAAATCTCGATTTATTCAGAAAATGAGAACAATTTTCGTTAAGCATGAAACTAAGATAACTTTCTTTGAAATATAAAGTATCTTACCTCTGGCCATCTGCTGAAACTCATCTCGGGAAAATTCAATTTCTCATATTCATAATGTGGTATAGCGTGCCATAATGCAATGGCAGATGCTACAACTAAACCTAAAAATAGTAAGCATACATTATTTATGCAATTCCAGGATTAGCTGTGTAGTATATTGTACATTAAAGAAAAGGGTACTTCCTTTTTTATAGCGGCCGCCAAAATTTAATATCTAATCGACTGTGATATAACATGTAGCGATGTATAAGAGCACTTGGCGAGATTTCGGCCATTAGCGATTCGATGTTGGGAGCCGCTATAATAAGGAAGTACCAAGAAAATATTATATTTGCCTCTGAAACTCAAACATTCGCTACAAAACATCTCTAAATTTCACTGGCATCATATATTTTATTTAAAGGAATATGACATCATGTTGATACTCTCTCCTATAACACGAAACTATATGTAACTTTACTGAATTTTGCAAATGAAACTTCAAAACTATAGTGCTTCGCTTTCAGAAAATTAAAAAAACTGTGCTATGATTTTGGCAACGAAATAAAAGATTGTTTCTTAAAGTAAAAAATAATATTCTTCCAAAATTCTGCATAAAGTTGAGTTATAATAAAATCTTTCAGAATAAATATTCGTTCTAAAACGACGACTTCTTTGGTATTAATTGCGCTTTTGCAGCTTTTAGTTCTTTCATTTATGCAAATCCAATAAACTACATGTTCCTTATTTTTATTCTGAATTCGATACTGATATTCTTTATAAAGGGCTAAGGGGTTCTTTTTTTTTTTTTTTTTTCCTTTTAGTTTCAATAATGTCTAAAACATTCATATTGATTAATATAAGATGTGAAAATAACTAATAAAATAAATAATAAATATTATATCAGAATTACAAATGGAATGAAACTTAAGATTTCAAGAGGAGCCTAAAACTAAGACACGTCTTCAATCTAACGAAGACTAACTTATTCACAAAGAAACTATTTAGCTCTTAATGACTTATGACAAAATGACTTAATTAACTCAAACTTAATGACTTATGACATCCCCTCCGAGGATCTATGGGGCACTGTACCCTCCGATTTCGCGGAAACAGGAAGAATTTTGGAAAATGCGGAAACAGGAATCGCGGAAACAGAACTAATTCCTCTCTCGTAAGCTATTATTACGCTCGGCCGTACTTTAGGCCCTTGATAGCTTCGCAGTCAATGAGCATTAAGGGGCCAACTCTGTTAGAATTTTGATAGCTTCGGCTATATCTCTTTAATTAAGATTACTTTAGTTTGATTCTTAGTTTCCTAAGTCGAAGCCCGAGTGTCGGCTTTATTGTACGACTCCAAGACGGAGTTTAGTTAAACTTTATTGGAATAATAAAGGGTTATTTCACCTTTCTAACTTGTCGTTTTCTACCTCACGAACTCAAGCAATTATTCGCTTATTGGTGTATTTAATTATGGCAAAGCACACGAGGAACTATCTGCCTAAGGGGAGGGGTGCCTTCGTGGAGGACTTTCTAAGGGAAACTGGCTCGTATATACGTTACACATGGGGAAAACCACGAAAACGCCCATGCAGCCAGCCCGTTCGCAGGATTCGAACCTCAGACCGAACTACCAGTGTTTAGCGACTTTACCGCTTGGCCGCTGGTGGGCTTATTCGCTTATTAGTTCTTAAGATTCTTCACATTCATCTGTAACTTAGAAGTACATAGTGGAGAATCCTACTACTTCTGTAAATGCAATGAAAATCGTCTGCAAAATATGCGAACAACCTGTATGTGAGGGTTATGTTCAATGTTTTTAACTGTAAAGAAGCTTATAGTCTATTTTTAAGGCTAATTTGTGTACTGAGACTTTGATCATTTTAAATTTTACTTTTCAAATTTTCATAAAAAATAGCTTTGATTCTCAATTCTTGCATTAAAGATTTGCTTTCTTTATAGTAGGATACATTTTCGTATGAATCTGAATATTAAAGTTCTTTTGCTCGTGCTTGTATAAACAATGTTATTTTTATCTTAAACAGAATTTCTAGTGAATACTTTTATTGCTTTGGTACCTACAAAGTAAAACAAATTTCTGCTTATAGATACAAGCTCTGTTCCAAAACTTCTCAAATATTTCTATTATTGTATATATAGATATTTGTAATAGAAAAGAGAAAACGACGTAGGAAATGCTGATGGCGTGGAACGTAGTAGATGCATATTGAAGAGGAAGAATTCTGATTGCGTGGAATGTTAAATCCTTAATGACTAGGAAACTTGGCAGTTGAGGCGGATTAAATTCCATTTTTATATATATTGACATCTGTGGCAACAATTCTCTTGGCTCTCTAATTGTGCCTACTTCCAGAACATTTACATTTTTTACATTATTGCGATAGGAAGAGAGTACAGAGAAACTGCATCCAAGTAGCACAGAGGGTGAAGCTAAAACTGCGCATTTATACAATATGGCAGTCTATTAAGAGAAAGGTTTTGGTTTAGGTTAGAAAGGTTTTCAGTTCTCAGAGTTTAGGTTCTGGATTAACTACGTCATCAGCGCTACTCCAGCTCTATGGCATAGATTAATCTACAAATGGCGCAATCCAGAAATGGGTTTTTTTTTTTTTTTTTTTTTTTTTTTTTTTTTTTTTTTTTTAAGAATGAAAAGACGAAAAACCCAAATTAAAAATGAAGAATTAAAAGCCTACTGATAAATTGAATTACAAAGCTGATTTACGTCATTTTTATCTTGCATATTTCGCCCTTCAAAGAGAAAAAGGCTTGGAGACAGAAAAGCATGTTTAGAAGAAAATCATTTTAAATTATAATTTTGATTTATATATATTTTATCTTACATATATACGCAGCGATGATAATATTTGAATTAGGTTTATTTACTATAAAATAATTCTTAAATAGACTTTTTAAACTTGATAAATAAAAATAATATTTGCAGAAAGGAAATTATACCTTTGGTAAAAAGAAAACAAAAATAAGAATAATAGAATATAATAATAATAGAATAGATGTGGTGTGTGTGATTATGGCAAAGCCTCGACGGTTATCTGCCTAAGGGGAGGGATGCCTTCGTGGGGCACTTTCTAAGTGAAACTGGCTCGTATACAGTTTACACATGAGGAAAACCACGAAAACACCCATGCAGCCAGCCCGTTCGCGATATTCGAACCTCGGACCAAACTACCAGTGTTCAGCTACTTTACCGCTCGGTCGCTGGTGAGCCAATAATAGAATAGAAAAATGAAAGAATAGAATACAATAATAATAGAATAGACTAATGACAGAATACAATAATAATAGAATAGAATAATGATAGAATAGAATTCAATAATAACAGAATAGAATAATGATAGAATAGAACACAATAATAATAGAATAGAATAATGATAGAATAGAACACAATAATAATAGAATAGAATAATGATAGAATAGAACACAATAATAATAGAATATAATAATATAGATAGATACAATAAATAGAATAGAATAAAATAATAGAATAATAATAATAGAATAGAATAATGATAGAATAGAACAATAAATATAGACTAGAATAGAAATAGAATAGAATACAATAATAATAGAATAAAATAATGATAGAATAGAATAATGGTAGAATAGAACAGTGCTCCGCAACCTTTTCTTACCTGCGACGCACAAAAAATCTTTCTGGAATTTCGTGGCTCACCAAAGAGTTCCAAGTTATCAAGGAAGTGCCGAAAAAATTCAAATGCTGACACACTTACAATCACACACACAACCACACAACAGTGAAATATATAAAAATATTTAAAATAGACATTACAGTAGACGCTCGTTTTTACGAACTCGTAGGGACTACGAAAACAGTTCGTTAAATCGAGAGTTCGTAATTTAGAAAGGCATCGGAAATTGTTAGTATTTCACATTTTAATGTTTTCGAGACAGGTTAGTGATACTATTCCATGCTTTTATTTATGTATTAGGAATTTTTTTAATAGTATTACTACTTAATAAATGATATCCATTCTATTAAACAAACAAGAATATAAAATATTTGTAAAACGTACCTTTATTAAGTCATGAGCAACAAAATAATCACTTATCTTTGTCTGTTTTAAAACAACAGATTGTACAATGCAAGACTCTATCTTCTCTATATTTGTTAGCATTTCATAATTATCACTGGCCTCAAAAAAGTCGTCTAAGTTCTGACAAGTATCAGCAGCTTGTTTTAAAGTCGGTTTTGGTGTTACTTCATTTTCTTCTCTTCTTCTTCTGGATCTGAAAGTCTCTCATTCTCGTTGATTATGCTGCTAATAATATCGTGATCCGATATTTCCTCCGTGCAGATGACATTAGAATCCCATTTAAAAAATCCTCGAATGAAAGTTCTGGCAACTGGGATTTCTACGGCGAAGTTCATGCATGAGAACCTCATCTTCGTCGGGAAATCTATTGTCATGGATTTCTTCAGTTACTTGTTTCTTTAATAAAAACCTGCAGTCGAAAGGCTTTAGAAATTGTTTCATCTAAAACATCATTCCATGCACTGATTGATAAATGCATTGCACCAAGAATATCAATCTGATAAGGTTGTTCCCTTTCCAAGCCAAGGATTACTCTTTGGCAGAGCACTGTCTTATATTTTCGCTTGAACTATTGATTATCCCCTGATCCATTGGCTGTAAAACTGCAGTTGCATTTGGTGGCAGATATTCCACCACGGATTGCCTGAAGCCCAGTGACTTCCATGTGTGCCGTACAATTGTCCGCGATTAGGAGAACTTTGCGCTTCTCTGCTGAAAAACGGTTATCTAAATCTCTCAACCATTTTTCGTAGATGTTGCCAGTCATCCAGGCCTTATTATTAGCATAATATGCAGCAGGAATCTTCTGAACATTTTTGAAACACCTTGGTTTCAGATATTTTCCAATAAAGAGCAGAGGCAATTTTTGTGACCCTGTCATGTTGGCTGCAATCAAAACTGTTAAGTCTCGCTTTAGCTTTATTACCTCCAACAAATTTATCTCCTTTGTAAGCTAATGTTCTTTCAGGCAAAATCTTAAAAAACAAAGCCGTTTCGTGCGCATTAAAATCGTCATCTGCAGCGTATTCAGAAAGAAGCAATTTCAACTTTTCTTCTTTCCATTCACTTGCTGATGACGTGTCTACTGCTGCACTTTCACCACACACTTTCCGGAAACTCAAACCATTCCGAAATTTAAATTTCTGTAACCAACCATCCGATGCTTTAAAATCTTTGATGTTTAATTTGGAAGCAAAAAAGTGTGCTTGTTCTTTAAGTACATTTCCATCAATTGGAATGTTTAAGCTTCTCATCTTTCGAAACCAAACAAGCAAAGCCCTTTCCAAATTTGGGTGTTTTTTTTCTCGAAAATATTTTCGAGAGGAGGGTCCACATTCATCGTTTCCGTTTTAGCTCCAAAGATCTTCTCTCTTGCCTTTAAAATCGGTCGATAACTATTTTTAAGAATTCCATATTTCTGAGCAATTTGTGTCTTGCTTAATATTTTTTCGTCAACTTCTTTTGAAATCTTCTTCTTATTTCAACCGCTAAACAAATTCGTTTCTTCATTTGGCGACATAGCTCTAAGAATCTACTTAACAAAACTGGCCAATCTCCCTCTCGACTAACGAGACTTCACTGATTGAGTTGTCCAGATCAAATGACTATGACATTACAAAAAGCAACAACTCTCTTTTAGAAGCAACCCAATCCCCTTTAACACGAATGGTCTCACCCCCACCCAACAACATCAGGCCGATGCTCTTCTGAGAGCCTCCCACAACAAACAACACCATAAATTTGTCCTAATTCCCCCTCTTCTCCGCCCCCTCCTTCCTTACTGTATTTCTTCGAATGTTTCGCACTTGCTGCGTCAAAATAGTTGGAGATTTTATTTGACCTTCACACTTCGTTCCAATGAAACACGCAGAAGTATGAAAAACTGAGTTCGCAAAAAAGAGATTTTCCTGATTTGTAGTTCGTAAATAAGAGCGCAAAATTACATTACATCTATGGGAGTGTATTCGGGACCATTCGCTAGTTCGTCAAATCGAGAGTGTTCGTAAAAAAGAGGTTCGTAAAAACGAACGTCTACTGTATTAAGGAAAAAATTGTCATTGTGTATTAAATACATGATAAAAAATTGCAAAATGTCAAATACATGTATTTGATTGCGGCACACCTATAGCCTACTCATGGCACACCGGTTTCGGAGCACTGGAATAGAATACAATAATAATAGAATAGAATAATGGTAGAATAGAATACAATAATAATAGAATAGAATAATGGTAGAATAGAGTACAATAATAATAGAATAGAATAATGATAGAATAGAATACAATAATAATAGAATAGAATAAGGGTAGAATAGAATACAACAATAATAGAATAGAATAATGATAGAATAGAATACAATAATAACAGAATAGAATAATGATACGAATAGAATACAATAATAATAGAATAAGAAGTTTCTGTTGAATTAATAAATTCATGTTGAGAAATCAGTACAGTGGTATTTTGATGTACTACATCATTAGATCCTTGAAAGTATACCAAACGAACTCTCCAATAAAAAATAGAGGACAAATAATTAACCTGTTATTATAAAAAAATCCTTTTGTTATTTTCATAACACTGTTTAATACTAAAATACAAATGCAGTGGGTTAAATATAATTGCACATAAATGAAGGCGTACACATGATACTGTGCACAAATGTTTTTCTGCTATCTAGATCAAAAGCAATTTTTTAACGTGGTCTTTAACGTCTGATATCTCTACTCTTTGTTTGGTAATCGATTTTACCCCCTTCGCAACGTTAGTCTATTTAATAGTTTCTTTGTTTTTCACAAGCGTAGACAGCAGGTATATTGACGCTCATAGAAAATCGTAGCAATGCTTTGAAAGAGTCAAACAAATGTCATGGAGACTCGATGAAATTTGTCAATGGACTCGATGAGTCATGGAGTTCTTTGAGTGTACTAAACATATGAACTCACGAAATACAGCATACCAAACAAACATTTTTGAGTCTTTTAAATTCTGAAATAAATTATTCAATTATTTAACAGAAATTTTAACATTCTTTGATGTTTTATTTCTCCTCGGTCAAAATATTCTCATGGCCATTCAAACGTCGAAAAGAATAATGAAGATTTCTCGATAATCTTGATGGCAACGCTACGATAAAACAATGCTATTTGGATCACATCCGTCTGAATTAATTTACATATTGACAATTGGCAATGTTCTTTTTCTGTCAATGCTCTCATTGCGACTAAGATCATCAAGAGATTTCAAGGACAGACGTGAGCAGAGTTTAAAGTGATGTCCCGACTATTGTTCTATAAGTAAGTAAGTTTTTATTTTACCTGCTAGAAGTTGTAGTAGGCCTGTAGCGATGATGTTGCTGTGAGATCTCCTCCAGCAGCCGACCAGGCCTGGAAATGCTGATAACGTGGAGAATAGGAAGGATACGATGAACAGAGCTACCACCGATCTCGCCATATCTGAAGAGAGAAAATGAGAATTCCATTCTTTTTTCACTGCAGTTTTATTGCAACTTAAACAATCTAGTGCAGTTTTCAGTACATAAAAGAAAAAAGCATTATTAATATACATTGTCTTGTGCCATCGTTTTGAATAATTTTAGCACTGGTTTATTGAAAAAGGTCTCTTAAAATTACATTTCGGTTTATATTTTCGAGTTTGCTTGAGTAAGCATCTTAGTTAATTAGTTCTTTCTAAAATACTTCCTTATGAAATGAAGAAGCTGGTATGAAACGAAATCTTCCTTCAAAGTATTATGAATCCATTCGAATATGCCTCTTGTGTAAAGAACTTAAATATGTTGTAGGGATTTATATTTATTTTAAGTAACCAGTTTAATTTATGTTCTTTCCTATAAGCCTTCATTTCCCTAAGGTAGAGGTCATGAAGTAATGCATGTTCTACCTCAATGAAAAAAGGTTTAAATACCGAGTTCTAAAAAGGAAAGTTAGAGAGTTCGGCAATCGTCGTCACCTCTGTAGGTTGAGCTTCTATTTCTGCTATTATTTCTGGTTAATTTCTGGTTATACGCTGTTTTAAAAAACAGGAATTATTTGAGCCCTGTAGAATAATTTTTACTATTGTTAATATCTTCGAATTTTTAGTTTAGTTCTTGTGATTTGAGTTACCGCTCGAGCAAGGCGTAGTGTGTTAGCGTCAAGTCAACACAGATTTGACTTTTAAAGAGTTTAACAAAGGGTTTCTTTTAACCCTTCTGTGTAGTTCTTACATGCACTTACTACACGTACAGTTGTCACTTAGAAGACAGACAAGTGGTTCTTACAATGTAATGTAACATAAGAATGTGCTGCAACCTTCTTGGCTGATAATAATCGGCCTCATGATTAACGGAGCACACCCAACAAAGACAAACAATAAACAACAAAGACGTTATTTTTCAAATTTTTCGCGTATTAAAATGTTAACTTTCTTTAACTCATCTTTTTTTAAAAAAAAAGCATTTTTAAACTAATTAGGGCTTTCGGAAAGTGTTCCTTCATTAAAAATTGCACAATGCATAAATAAAAAAAAATATCATTCTACTTACGAAGTCTCATCCATCTTTGATCTGTAAAAGTATCAGAAATGCCATTGTCATTGATATAATAATCAATGTTTAGGCACTGCGTCTGTACTGGTGACATGTAGGTTCGAACTGTGAAAAAAAAAAAATTATTAGCATTTTTTCACATAAATATGCTTTTTATATTACAAAAATGTATCTTATACACCTTAAATTCAATTCTTAAATTATTGCGATGGGACTCTACTACACCTGTACTACAATGACGAAACTCTGGTGTTCCCTGCGCATCTTCCGGATATGTTTCTGTTTCTTTCTGCAAACAATACGCTAAAGCTGTTTACGTGACATGGACTTTTCACCAAGCATTTTTGAATAGAAGACTATTACGTGATATAAATGTAACTTGATAATAAGTGTCGTTAAATTTTATAATAGTTGTAGCTTTGTTGTGTTTAAGTAAGCTTTATTCATTGAAGTCTAATAATATTAACATTTCAACGTATAAAGTTTCCTTCCAGGCCGCCCAAATGGTGTAGTAGTTATGGCAGCCTGACTGCGATACCGAAGGGGCCGGGTTCGAATCCCGGAGAAGGCATGGATGCAGTTGTCTGCCTCTTCAGAGGAAGCAAAGATCGCCCACCTAGTAAGTGCCTCCATAATAAAGATACCACCACATCTGGCCTTTGGAGTGGTCAATGCCGACATAAGCAAGTGCCCGCCATTGGGGGCGAAAACAATTTTCCTTCCAAAGTCTTGAAATGGAGCAGAAAGGCAAAAATAAATAAAATGGTAAGGGATCGAAAAATAATATATTTTTGTCAACACAACTTATTGCGTATGCATTCATATTATTTGTTTGTAAACAAAATGCATTAACAGCTCTCTATGAACGAACTCCATTATTATAGCCTTTATTATATGCTTAGATTCACTTCCGTTTGTATTGCGCAAATGTATTTTCAAAAGTAATTTTCATTTTATCGTTTTGTTTGTAATCAGATTTATGGTGTATTTCATTGCGAAATGAGTTGTTTTTGAAAAAAGAACAACAGAGCATCTAAACACTACATTCTCTCACGAACTGTGCATGGAAACGTGTTATGGTAAACATTTGAAATTGATCTGATTGTTGTTGCTTTTTTTTATTAACCCTACCATTTTGGTGAACTAACTATCAAAGTCGTTATTTTAATAATCTGGTGTTTCCCAAAGCAATTTAGTCTTCCGCGAAAACTTTACAAAACAATTATTACTGAATAGAGGTGACCTTGTTGAAGAATAATTAGTAGAGTAAATAACACAGTTCCATTCACATAATTATATGATTTAGAATTCTCTGATAATGGCGCATTAGAATATGCCATTATCATGTATGAAGTGACGCCATATCATTATCGTATATGAAGTGAAGTGACATCATTATATGAAGTGAAAAGAAGAATGCTTCTTCAGATAAACGTCAAGAGAATTTTTCTGCTTAGAATGTAAGCAATAACATGGGTCACGCATTCGGTTTCTCAATACTTCGTTTAGTTAATTGGTTATAAATATATAAATATAAAATTTAGATTTACATTTACATTTCAATATTGATGAGCTATAAGACATCTAAATTTATAAAGGTCAACAATGGGACACGTTTAAAGAAAACATAGTAAGTATTTTCTTTAATTAAGACTTATTTTTACTTAATAACGGATCGAAAACATTTGTATTATTAAATTGAGAAAACATTTTCCTTAGAATTCCTTTCCTTTCTTTTCCTTCGAACTCACAACGGCCGAGCGGTAAAATTCGCTGAATACTGGTAGTTTCGACCTGGGTTCGGTTCCAGCCGAACGGACCAACAGCATGAGCGTTTTCGTGGTTTTCCTCATGTGTAATGCTATATGAGCCAGTTCCCTTAGAACGTCCTCCACGAAGGCATCCATCCCCTCAAGCAGATAGTCCTAGTGTACTTGGACGTAATCTTAATAAATCAAACCATACCTCTTTTTCTCTTTTGTTAGTTATGTACTTGTTTGTCAATTTGTATACCTGTTTGTTTTTCCGTCTATCTCCTCATCTATCTCTTTAATCTTGTATCAATTTGCAAACACATTGCAAAAACCCGATATTTAAGTGAAAATGCAGTAAAAGACGTGAAACCTACGTAAAGAAAAACCTGTGAACAAAAATGGCTATATAATATTTAATTTTTAATTTCTCTTTTAATCGTTGTATGTTATAATACTATAATTAAGTAGTTGTTTTTAGCTCACTTATTCAGAAATCATTAGATTAAATGATAAGCAGATAATTAGGTAAGAATATACACAAATATATTAACAGATAAGCATTTATAATACTGAATATTTCCTATAATTAAGCTTCATTTATTTCAAGTATTGTAGAATATCTCCTTTAACGAAAGATAATAGGACTTCCAGCATCTAGCAAAAGGTGTGAAAAGAATTAAAAATAGCAATCTATGCACAACATAGAAACGATTGTTCATTTTTGATGTCTGGAGTTATAATTTTAAGTCAGATTCCACAGCCCTGTCTCGTGTCATTCTTTACCCACTTTACCGTCCTACAAAAAACTGCTTGTCATACTCAAGGATGTTGAATAGCTTCTCCCTACTCAGTAAAAAAAAAAAAAAAAAAAAAAAAAAAAATCTTTTGTGTTCCCTAATCTTTTATCTGAAAATAAACAAAGACAATCGCCTCAAGGTAAGCTTTCAAATGAGCAGTCGTTCCCATTGGAATGCCAGCTGAAAATCTCCTGTTTTCATTTACGTTAAGCGATGAGTCCGTCTCAAGGGTTACGATCCAAGTCCCATTTAACAACGATGAGCATATCTAATTGCTGACACCTGATGAGACTATTCTAGTTTATAGAAATGTTTTAAGTAAATTCTCATTTAATCTGCCTAATATTTGAACTATATCTCTGCAAAATAATTTTGTGCCTCTAGGTAATTACTAGGTGAAAATAATAATAATAATAATAATTAGATTCTTATCGGAAAGGATTTGGTAACCTTTCATGTGGGCAGTTTTATTATTTTGTTGCGTGCGTACGGGTTCTTAATAGACTAAATGTACACAGAACCGATGATAGCTTGTTAAAATTTATTTGTATTAAAAGAAACACTTTAAAGTTCTGGAACTTTCGACAAAAGTACACGCACCGCTCTTCACATTATCACAAAAAACAATCAGTAATTAGGCTTCAAACTACTAAGAACGTTAAACTCAACGCAGTGCAAAGCGCTTCTAAAGAGAGAAACTCACACGGAGATATCTCTGTACTCCAGACTCACGCCTGAACAGCAAATGCAAACTGATGCTCTCCTCGGTCTTATGTAGTTTTCCTCCGACCACCGAGAGATCTCTAGTACCTTCCACTTCTCGAAATTACTGGATTACCAGATACGGTTACAGTTATTTAAGATCACTTCTACGAACGCGTTACAAAAATCAGCGTTATATTCACAAAATTTTCACAGGACTAGTTTCGATGGTTTTACCGAACCATCATCTTCAGCTGCAAAACCGCAAATGAACAAGATAGGAAATAATGATTAGATAGATAAGGAAGCCGGGACAAGAATAAGCAAGTGGCGCCATCGGGCGAAACCAGAACTAAAACATACTCTCTAAAAGCCGAAAATGGCCTTAAAATTCGCCAAAAACATGAGGCAAAGAAAGGGAGCACAGAAGCTTCTGTTGCTCAACATTGTTGGTCCGAAAAATCACACTTCAATTTCTGCTGCCAAAATTTTCAAAAAATCTTCCATTGGAGAACTGAATTTCTAGAGGCAGTTCACACATAAAAATCTTTCTGTTCTAGTTAACGACCTAATTCCAACCAAATTTGCCTTCGGCTTTTACAGAAAAATTTTAGTCTGGTTTCGCCACGGATGCGCCACTTCTTATTCTGTCCAGGCTTCCTTATCTTATCTAGCATTATTTCCTATCTTGTTCATTGCGGTTTTGCAGCTGAATGAGGTTCGGTAAAACCATCGAAACTAGTCCCGTGAAAATTTTGTAATATAACGCGATTTTTGTTGTTTGACTTCTGAATTAGTATTTGTTCGGCGTGTTATTGTGTCTTAATACGAATTGTAGTTTGAGTTCAACTATTGGCTGCCTGTGTGTTTGCTTATTTTATATTGTTTTTTACGTGATGTCGTACTAACCCCTTATTTATTTGTTAGTTTTATTTCCTTCTGTTATGTGCCGTTTTACTGGTTTTTTATAGCTTTGTAAGCTTAGTTTACTATTGTAATTTTTATGTTTATTTAGATTCTTTTTTTTTTTCCTTAGTCCAAAGGGGCTTTGTCCATGAAGGACTATTGTTTCGCTGGCGATTCGTTGAAAACTTAAATTCCGTTTCAATTTTCCAACTGTTGCCACCAAATGTTAGATCCTGCATTATATTTGTCGAATTAATAATGAAAATCTGATAAATGTAATGTTTCCGCATTGGATCAACAACGCTACCTAGAGCCAATCCAATTTGAGTAAAGTAATCCTCCTACGAATATGGGCTTGTTTAAGATCAAATTTGAAATTTGGAATTTGTTTTATGATCGGTTTCATATTTTGTAAAACTTTAACGAATTTTCAATTAACAAACTCAACGATTTGAAAACGAGCCATGGCAACATTCTACGGAGTAAAACCTTTTATCTCCAGCGCGCGGCACTGTGTATCAGAAATTCTACAGATACGCTCATCTAAAAATTATTTTGCGACATTGATGTTGAACTGAATTTGCTACTCAGGCTGGGGATCCTGGCTTCTCGAAAGCGTTATGTTATTTGTGTCTTTTTTTTTTTTTTTTTTCCACAGCCGGGTCTCTGAAAGCCGCCATTTGTCGCGTGATGTGTACGCAGCCCTTTGGGTCATAAGACGAGCTTCTCTCGTCAGGCGGGCCGGACTGCGTCCTAAATTAACAAATAAATTAACGGTTACAGTTATATATATAATTACAGCTAATCAATTACAATACCATTACAGTTATACAAAGACCGGACCAAAATGTCGCCGAATGCTCGGCAAGTTTGGCGACTTTTGGTGATTTCTCGCCAAATTTGGTAACAAAAATTAGTTGCCAAACCCATCGTTAGCTTGGCGATATCTCTCCAATTTAGCGAGATGGCTACTTACTCAGTGTTAAACAG